AGCACAGGCTTGCACCTTGGTGTGCTCCAGCATGAGAGCAAGCTCACAGCATGCATCTGATTTTGAACAGTGGAATGAGATGTACAAAATACCGGAAAATTATTATGAAACAGAATATTTGCTGGCATTCTATTGTTCACTTACATCCTAGTCCGAAATCTGCTGAGATGACTAAAGACTTTTCACTGATTTCAGTGGACCCTCAATCAAGTCCATATGAATGGTTAAAAGGTGGGAAGGAAAAAAAACCATTTTTAGCACATCTGCAAGATGGCAAAACAGGACCTGACTCAGTATCCATGACAACACTGCTGATATTCTGCTAAAAAAAAGAAAAGCCATTAAGTTTTAATACCTGTAAAGCAAGATGAATCAGTTTGCCAGTGTTTCTCTTCTGTGAATTTGCTGAACTCCTTTTTTTTTTTTTTAAGGTAAGCCTGTAAATACATGCATGTAATGATGTAAGATTCAAGTATGACCAAGGCAGACTTCAGTCAAGGATATTCTTAGGAATATTCTCTATGATCTTCTAACTAGAAAAGTTTAGGGCAGAGGCAATCCCTTTTCTTTAGATAAAGGGATACTGCTGGCAAAACAGGACAACATCTCAATGTGATGATGTAACATCTCAAGTTACCTGAAGAAAGCTCTTTTTGTATCAGATAGAAAGATGGTCCCATGAACAAATGTCCTGAATGAAATAGATTTGATGAGTGTTTTTAGTCTGAGCAGTAAGAAAGACAGACTCCAACAAAACGTATTTCCAGGTAGAATCCTCTTCCCATCTATGTTATACCTATTAAATTATTTTCTGTACAGATACTGCATGATAAGGTATAATGCAACAGTTTAAGGGGTGGATATTTGCCTTTACATGAATGATGAAAAAGCTGATAATTAGAAAGATGGGTTGAACACTAAGAAAATAAAAATATTTATACTTAATTTTGAATGAAGTTGTCTGTCAAGATAGATTCAAAGTTCTGTGTGTCTCTCGCAACAGATGATTTTCTAGTATCTAAAATAAAGACCAAGGGAGTCACCACAAACACTCAAAGTTGAGACATATACGGAGGGAATTAAAAAAAAATTAGCTTGCAAAATGCAGCATTCAAAATCGTGGGAAAAAATTCAAATAGCTATTCAGTGCAAGGGAAATATTTTGAAACAGGCAGAGCTGAAAAATGAGCACTGGACGACAACAAATCAAGGGAGTTTCCATAAAGCAAACCACAGATTAGTGAAGTTCTGGGATAACACATTCTTACAGGAACACAAAGCAAAAGAATGATATTTTGGCAAAATATCTGGATATACTTGACTGGTAAAATCACTTCAGGAGCTGTGTATTTTGTTCAGCACATGTTTATCCCATAGAAGAGTGGTAAATACTCCCGTGAACTTAAGGAACATGCTCATACTAAATATAAACCACCTAGCTGCATTCACTGAATCAGGAATAGGACAATAATCACATCCAAGAAAGATGCCTAAAAAACAAAAGGGCAAAGGAAAAATTCAGCCTGGGGAAAATACAAAAATACTAGAATATGTAAATAGAATTCATTGTTCCCAAAATTTCTGAAAACTAAGTTCTGTTTAACTCCAATGAAATAAAGACTTGATTCAAAATGCCAGGAGAAACCCACATCAATCATGTGTTGCATTTCATCCCAGTTCTACCAGTGATCCAAAAAGACCAGAGCCCTGGGCCTGACTCGTCACAGAAGCTTTGGTGTCACACACAAAACAGAGGAGGGAAGGGAAAATCTGCCCTGTGTAGGTGGCTCCTCAAAATGGGGAAACCCTGCTGTCTGACAGGAAGAGTTTTTTACATTTTTTATTGTAAGGGGGTGGGAACTCTGGTCCTTTACACTTATAACATTTAGATCCGTCTACCTTCCAAACATTTGTAAATGTTCCCACACTGTGACATGGTTAATAGTCATAAAACTGTTATTCTTTGACACAAAAATGTAATTGTTCTCTGCCCATTACCTTCAAAAATTCTGTTATCATCCAGTCTTCTTCAAATAGGGAGCACAGCAATTTATACTGCCTTAACCAAAAGCCAGAAGTACTGACTTGCAAAGACAACTTGTCATTTAACATGAGATCAGTGAGCCCTCCAGTGGCTATTTTAAACCTCGAACTGCCACAATAACCTTAAGAAAAAAAATATTTCTGTGTATGTGGTTTATTTGGATTCTGTTTGAATTCATTTGAATTCAGTCATCTTCTACTACTTTAATTGAACAACACTTTGAGCAACCTTTTTAATACTCTCAAACAGATGTATTTTCAGCTCACATACATTTTCTTTCACTCCTGTGTATGTTCAAAATTTGTGATACATCTTAAACGTTTGAGTTACTTCACAGAAGTTAGCGAGGAACATTCATGTAAGAGGAGGGGAAAATTTCAATTCATTGGACTCAAAATCAAAATCTTAGCCTATAAACCTGTAGTATATAAATCCTACCTCTGGAAACTACAAACATCTGGGACAATGAATAAATACACAAAGGCTCTTTCAACGGAAAACCCAGCACGTGGCAGATTTAACACAAACAAAAGATGTTGCTTCTCATAAGGGAACTTGTTTAGCCACGGAAGTCCTTGTAACAAGATACAGTGTTGTTGTGGTGGTCAATAAAAAATACACTAACAGTCAAGTTCAGAGCAAAACACAAGTCTCTCTTTATTTTTCCCATGTGCCTTTTTATATCCCTTATTAGTAGCAAGCAGCAACTTAGATAAGCAAGCAACAGTGTTTTAATCTGCTATTATTTATTGCTGATGTATTTGGCAAGGCTCAAGGCTATACTGGGGTTCCCACAGGACTGAATCTAAGCACTCCACAGTCTGTCTTTTCTTTCCTTAGGGCTGCGTACATAGTTTTCTTATCTCAAGGATATACTCGCAAGTTTCCCCAGTCAATATCTTCTCCCAGAGAGCTGACAGACCCACTGCTAACCCTCACACAGTGGAGAAAAAATGTTTGGCCCAAAGAGGACATGAAGATTCATGAAACAGAAATTCACATGGCCTATTATTTGTAAAGAAATCCCTCATCAGTAGGCCCAGAATCGAGACTAAGATGGGAACATGTCATCACATGCTTTTCTGATTCTTACACTATTTAATTCTGGAAGGTATCCATTAGAGAAAGCCACAGCGATAAGTTTGGCTAAAAGGATCTTTTCTGAGGTCTAGCACTGACATTTTAAAGTTTAAATAGAGCCTTTACTCAAACTATTTAAACATTGTGTCAAAAATAGCCAGTAAATGAAGAACTCTGAGACTGAGCTACAGGTTTTTTTGTCCTTGATCCGCTTTAAGACAGCATCACATTGCACAGCCCACAGGAAAAATCTGAGGAGAGCTGTGCCTCATTTGACAGCATCTTCTTCTGCTTGATTCTCCAGTCATTATACAGTATCATCTTGAATTTGTTATATGAGCATTGGTTGCTATGGAAATCATCTGCTAAATTCAGCATTATTGATTTTGTTTAACATGGGAATAGAGTCATTTTCCATTCATCAAGGCTGGAAAAGACCTCCAAGAACATCAAGCCCAACCTTCCACTGAAGTCGACCTTGTTAACTAAACCACTGCACTAAGTGCCATGTCCAATCATTTCTCGAACACCTCCAGGACTGGTGACTCCACCACCTCCCTGAGCAGCCCATTCCAACGCTTGACAATCCTTTCAGTAAGGAAATTCTTCCTGATGTCCAATTTGAATATCCCCTGGTTCAGCTTGAGGCTATTTCCTCTTGTCCTGTGTCTGTCTGCCCAGGAGAAAAGGCCAACCCCCCACTTGGCTACAATCTCCTTTCAGGTGGTTGTAGAGAGCAATAAAGGTCTCCCCTGAGCCTCCTTTTCTTCAAGCTAAACAACCTCAGCTCCCTCAGCTGCTCCTCACAGGACTTACTCTCCAGACCCTTCACCAGCTCCATTACCCTTCTCTGGACCTGCTCCAGCCCCTCAATGTCCTTCCTGAACTGAGGGGCCCAGAGCTGGACACAGCACTTGAAGTGTGGCCTCATCAGTGCTGAGTCCAGGGAACAATCACTGCCCTGGCCCTGCTGGTCACACTATTGCTGACACAAGCCAGGATCCATTGGCCTTCTTGGCCACCTGAGCACACTGCTGGCTCAGGTTCAGCTGGCTGTTCACCACCGGCTCCAGGTCCTCTTCCAGTTGCTTTCCTACCACTCTTCCCCAAGATGCAGCACAGTCTGGGGTTGTTGTGACACAAGTGCAGGAAAATGATGTGGGAGACAGTATCAAAGGCTTTACTTTGATAAAAGTAAAGGTAGAAAACATCCTCTTTGATCAAAGTCCAGGTAGACAACATCCTCTTTCCCTCATCCACTAAGCAGGTCACCTGGTCATAAAAAGAGATCAGGTTGGGCAACCAGGACCTTCCTTTCCTAAACCCATGCTGGCTGGGCCTGATCCCCAGTTGTCCTGTATGTGCTGTGTGACTGCACTCAAGATGATCTGTTCCACAGCTTTCCCAGGCACCAAGGTCAGGCTGACAGGCCTAACAACATCCTTGTACTTTTGCTGAGTTGCCTCCCCCTTCTTCCAAAGGTCATAAAACCTCTTTTATTCCATGAGTTCCAGTGAAAGCTCCCTCTTCAGCCAGGCCAGTAGTCTTCCCTGCCAGCTTGTCTTTAGGCAAATAGGGATGGCCTGATCCTGCACCTTTAAGATTTCCCTCTTAAAGTGTGTCCAGCCTTCCTGGACCCCTTTGTTTTTAAGGACTGTTTCCCAAGGTACTCTCTGAACTAGTGTCCTGAACAGGCCAAAGTCCACCCTCTGGAAGCCCAAGGTACAGGTTTTATTGACTCCCTTCCTTACTTCACCAAGAATTGAAAATATCATTTCCTGGTCACTGTGCCCAAGACCACCACATCTCCCACCAGCCCTTCTCTGTCCTTAAACAGCAAGTCTAGCAGGGCAGCCCCTCTTGCAGGCTCACTTACCAGCTGTGTCAGGAAGTTATCTTCCACATGCTCCGTGAACTCACTCGACTGCCTCTGGTCCACTGTGCTGAGTTTCCAGCAGACGTGTGGCAGGTTAAAGTCTCCCACAAGAACAAGGGCTGGTAATCGTGAAACGTCAGCCAGACACTTATAAAATACTTCATCTGCCTCTTCATCCTGGCTGGGAGCTCCACAGCAGATGGATGGTCTCCCACCAGGATGTCTGCCTCGTTAGCTTCCCCCCAGTCCTCACACCACTGCCCTGGAGCTCTGCACAGTCAGAACACCATCCAGTGTACAGAGCCATCCCACCCCCTCTCCTTCCTCACCTGGTCCTTCTGAAGAGTTTGTAACCATCCACTGCAGCTCTCCAGTCATGAGAGTCATCTCACCACGTTTCCCTGACAGTGACTATGTCACAGCTTTCCTCCTGCCAATGGCCTCCTCCTCCTGTCTGTTACTCATGCTGTGTGCACTGGTGCAGATGCACTTCAGCTGGGATATTATTTCAACCCCAACACTGGCATGTCACCCCAAGGCTCATCAGTGTCACTTTTCAGATCTGAGCTGTAGTCTTTTGACTAGGTTCTGATGATTACTTCCACAAGAAGATCCATAGAAACAGAGTAAGACAATTAAATCTCAATGAAATTACACAGATCAACACTAGCCTCCAAGCTCTGCAAGGATCTGAATGAATTGTACACAGTCTGCACTTCTAAACTCATCCTGCAAGCTATGACTTGGGAATAATGTATTCAAGAATTTATTCAAGAACACCTTTTAAAATGCTGTTCTTGAACCAGCATGGGTACTGGTAGGAACATGTATCATAATTGGGTCTATTTTTCTAGTTTATCTTCTCTCAGAGGAAAATCCTCAGCAATTCAGCTAGATTATTTTCAACACTTACATTGGATTATTCTCAGACAGCTAAACTATCAAAACATAGCGTCATTCTTTAGTCTCTCCAGGACCTGGTTCACATTTTTGTGTGAACTGAAAAACAAGACAAAAATAATCCATCTTCTGCATTTACCGAGGGGATGTTAACTAGCACACAAATAACTCAATGCTTATTATAAAGTCTTTCAAATGAAGTAAAGTAGTAAATTCAAATTTAAGTATCTAAATTGAGGCAAACTAATTCTGAAGATCAAGCCTGCAGAGACGAATACTGTTAATATTACACATATGAGTAGCCTGAGGGTGCTTTGAGGGTTACTAGTGTTGTGGGATACCAGGTAAAGATCACACAGAACCAGCAAATCAAATCAGCAAATAAAAAGTAATCTCACTGAAATAAGAACAAAGTGAGACCGATTTTCTACTGACTCAATGTGTTTGTGGCTTTACTGCCTCAGAAGGCATATGCACCAAAGGCTGAAGGATATTTACCACTGAAGCATTTATGCAAAGCTTTTTTTCCCATGTAGATTCTCTGCCTAGTAAGGCATAAGTTTAACTGTAACATCATCCTCCATCAGAGTCCTTCTGCTCTACCCATCCACCTGTTATCATGAAATCTGCAATAATTTATCAGCATTCCTGTTAAGTTTGACCAAACCAGCCAACAGGTTCAAAATTAAGGATCAAAACTGATGAAGAGTATGACTGTTTAAGCCTTGCTTGTTTAAGCCTTGTTTAAGAAACATTGAAAATATAAAAACATAGATAACGGTTCATCAATATATGCTACGAATGTGATTCATGCTCAGATTATTCACAAGTTATTAACTGTATATATGACTATGACTCATGAAGACAGTACAAAAGGTTCCTTGACTCTGATCTTGCTGTTCTATTCAGAAAAATACATTCAAGCATCTGACGTTAGTGTTTTACAAGGACATGTTTGAAAACTGAAGCACAGTAAAAGTACATATAACTTATTTTTTTTTCCAAATGTCTAATAGAACTAACCAGAAAAATCTGCAGAAAATGTCAATCAGAGACTGCTATGCACAACACAGATGGGAAAACTTGCATCTTCCCCTTCTGACAAAAAGCACAGAAAATATTTTCATCTACCACAACCTACATCCTGAGCTCTGTATATCCAACAGTAAGGTGCACATGGGCCCTTCATTGTAACAGATTTTTATTTATCATGGCCCACATACCTCTGTGGATGGCCTTGGTCACAAGTAACAGGTTATACAGAGGATTTAAGTCTGCTTCTGTCTAGGTACATGAGATCATCCCCCCCAATAATGTCCATAGTCCATCTTCAGTCCTAAAGAGCCTCTATGCTGCCTACAGTCATGCTGTTCTCCAACGGAGTGCAGAATATTGATGCTCAAAATTATACCTGCCCGTTAACGGCAACAGGAGACAGGGACAGAAGCTCAACAATATTCTCCCTGTGTTTTGCCATTTTATCTTGGGTTTTGCCACTTTATCTTGTGTTTCAGCAGCAACTGAATCACAGCAACTGCCCTAATCAGGGCTCTAAGCAGGAGTTTACACTCCAGTTGAGCAGCTGTCTCACGTTTCTTCTAACAGACCTATGCCCCTAAAGCTATGCAGAATCCTTTTCAGTCTGCTCTGTGGCAAACTTTGAAATATGCTTTGACACATGCCTTCGACATGCTGAGGGATGATTGTATGGTAGGAGCTTGTCAGCAGCTTTTCCCTTTAATAAATATAGGTATTTGTGGTTTCATTCACTCCTGACCTGGTTCAGAATCTTCAATCAGGATGTCGATTCACCACCTAACAATCCTAATTTCAGAAACTAACTTCTTTAAACAGGAAAACGTATTACAATTAAAATTAAAACATCATTCTAGAGCACTGGAGAGAAAAAAAATTACTTTTGTTCTACAGTCAATATCAGCAAACGTTACAATGGGAAAGCATAACTGACACAAACACAGAAAGCAGGCCCCAAAGAAACAACTGATCACAGACAAGATCAGTTTGTACCTAAAATATTTGTACCTAAAATATTCCTGCAGGATGTATTTTTTCTAAAATGTTCTAGACAATTAAATTAGGTACCAGTAGGAAATGTTTCCTAAGGTCCAGCACAAAGCTGCCTTGCTAAAGTTCAAGTATTTTTGTTCCCTCCACACTAGTTACAGAACAGTTTGTTCCCTTCTTTGCAGTGTGACTGACACAGCCTTTGTGTGCAACAGTATTCTGAAGAAAATGCTGAAGAGCCCTGTTTCACACAGTACCATACAGTGTGGCTGAGGGTGGATCTATGGAGGTCATCTGGTTTAACATCTCTGATCAAGCAGGGTCACCTAGGGTCCATTGCCCAGGATTGTGTCCAGATGGCTTTGGAAGATGTCTAAGGATGGAGACTGCAGCAGCTCTCTGGGTAACCTCTGCCAGTGCCCCATCACCTTCACAGTAAAAAAGCCTTCCTGATGTTCACAAGGAACATCCCATGTTTCAGTTTGTGCCCACTGCCTCTAGACCTGTCACTGGGCACCACTGGATTGAGCCTGGTTCTGGTCTTCTTTTTACACTGCCTTCACGTTTTCATCTTTGTAGCCTTCACTGGACTCTTTCCAGCAGCACCAACTTCCCCCTGCACTGAGGAGCCCAGAGCTGGGCACGGTACTCCAGCAGCAGCCTCACTTGTGCTGAATGGAGGGGTAGGATCACCTTCCTCAGTCTGCTGGCAACACTCACCCTAATGCAGCCCAGGGCACTCAGCTTTCCTCTCTTCAAGGACACAGTGCTGGCTTACATCCGATTCAGTGTCTAGGAAACTACCAGGGCCTTTTCTGAAAACTCGTCTCCAGCTGGGTGTTTCCCACCATGTACCAGGGTCTGTGATTGTTCCTCCCCAGGTGCAGGACTTTGCACTTCCCCTTCTTCAACTTCATGAGGTTTTTCTCAGCACATTTCTGCAGTTCATCCACCCGGCAGCACAACCCTCTGGTTCCTCAGTTACTCGGTGTTACTTGGTTACTGTTTATTCAGTTCCAAGGTGTCACCTTGCTGGTGAGACACTCTGCCCCACTGCACAGGTCACTAACCAAGACGCTGAAAAAGCTCAGGCCCAGTACTGACCCCTAGGACACACCTCTAATTACGGGCCCTTCACTAGACTCTGTGCTATCACCACGCTCTGGGACAAGCCATTCACTGCACTGCCTGCACATCCACCCCATGCATCAACTGCTCCTCTAGGAAGGTATTACTGAAGTCAAAACCCTTACTGAGGCCTAGGCAAACAATAATGACTGCTCTCCCCCTGGCTTTGCCAGACCATTTCATCACACAAGTTTATCAGGTTGGTCAAGATGTCATGATGAATCCATGCTGACTACTCCTGATGCTTTTCTTGTTGTTCACGTGACTGGAAATGATTGTCAAGCTTAACTGTTTAACAAGTTTAGCCACTCAGCAAGTTTATTACTTTTTTCCAGTAACTTCACGAATGATATCCCTAACACTAATGTTTTCATTTTAGGAAAAAAGATAGCAAATTAATAGTGGAACTTAACAAGTTCCTGGTACTGTTGCATTATTTATCATTCACCAATGCTTTTAAGTCCTGTCTGGGAAAAGAACTGATGAAAGAAGAAGCTGAAATGACACTTGGATACAAAATAAGATCTCCTAATCCTGGATTATTAAAACCAATATGTTAGTTTTGTCAGCTCTGCCAGTTGCCTTACAAACACACTTGGGTCAGTCCTGACTAACAAGGACTTTCAAATTAATCAGAGGGATCTCAAATAAGATTGAACACATATCTACCTAAGAATCCTTTTAATCCTCTTTAAAATTATGATCAGGTATCATTATGAGTATTAGTAATAGAAGGGAAAGTTGCTTTAAAGGGATGCCAGACCTTCACTTCTGAACAAATTCATAGGAGGAAGGCTTACAGACAGCCTTATATGAAGGTCATTTTTTCCTCATGTGGAATATCCATGAGACAAGCAGAAAGCTCAGAAAGAAGGCACAGAAATGAAACGTCTTCCAATCCAGCAAACCCCTTTGTCATGACGAGTTATTCTTCCCCCCCCCATTATTACACAATGACATTCCTAACAGAAATTATTGTGTATGCTCTGCCTCAGGTATTTAAAAAAAAAAAATCAGTTGTGATGTCTGAAATTAAGCTAAAAAACCCCCAAGCCCCTCTGTTTTGAATAATCCAATCAATACTTTTGAAAAATTACAGGTGGTTTGTACTTTTACAATTATACTGGAATTGACACTCCTGCTGAGGACCTTTGCTAAATGAATTTCACACGTTTAACTACAGCAGTTTGAAAACACTGACTTCATTTTACCTGTAGATGACCTGCGCCAACAAGCCCTAATACAAGAGAAAAATATTACTGCTACATTATGATAAGCACTCCTTTTAGTGGCTGTAAGGTGTGAGACTGGCCTAAACTTTATTAAGACAGGCTGCAGTGCCAACTGAAACAATGATGCTAAGAAAATCATCCCTATTACCTATGCATGCCATGCCTCACACGGCCTTGGTTGCTTTCTTCTCCATCAGAACAGCTATCAGACAGATGCACTACATTATCACGGGCAGTACCTGTGTTTCTGGCAGCACCACGAAAGCAGAAACTTAAAAAAACCAGTCTCCTTTTCCTGCAGAGGCCTAACACGAGAGCAGCACACTGCAGCCAGGGTACATGGAGCGTGAGAGCAAATTTAGGTTAGATATTAGGGAAAACTTGTTTGCTGTGTGGGTGGTGAGGCACCGCAACAGGGAGGTTGTGGATGCCCCATCCCTGGCAGCACTCAAGGCTGGACGGGGCTCTGGGCAACCTGACCTCGTGCCCACGGCACGGGGTTGGAGCGAGATTACCTTCAAGGTCACTCCCCACTCCTTACGGTTCTTTGAAAGCAGCCGTGAAATCGCCCTTCCTGGCCACGTCCCCACTGAGTTCCTCTAACCCCAGCTGGCATAAACACCACCCATAAACACACCCCGGGAGGCACGGAGCTCCTTATCAACCCTAGGCAGGTTTTCCCAAGGGAAAAGGCGGCCCGTGCGCCGGGAACGCGGCCCGCAGCGCCCACGCTGCCCCGAGCGCCCCCACGGTCGGTCTGCCCGCACCGCGAGCGAGCGCCGCACGCGAAGCGCGACAGCCCAAGGCAGAGCGGGCTGATGGCAGGCACGGGGCAAGCAGGGCACCGCGCTTCCCACGGGAGCACGAAGCCGCAGGGAGCGGTCCCGGCGCCCGGGGACACCCGGGACGGGGCTGGTGGGACCCCCCGCTCCACACGGGCCGCGCATGCGCGAGACCCCGCAGCTTCTCCCCCCTCCCCTCCCCGCGTGCTGGAAAGCGCTGGAAGGGTGCGCGTCCCCCGCCCCGCCCCGGCCGCCGCTGGCCAATCAATGGCGCGCCCGCGCCCTCCCAACCGCCCCCCTCCCCCCCTCCGCCCCGTGACGCAGCCGCCGCGGCCTCCGCGGACTGGCTGCGGGAGGCGAGCGCGCGGGTCACGCGGCGCGGCACGCGATTGGCCGGCCCCGGCAAGAGCCAATGGGAGCCGAGCCGCCGGATTCAAATGGCGCGAGGCGCGGAAGCGGGCGGTTAGTGCGCGAGGCATCCCTGAGGCGTAAAGAGAAAGAGAGGGGCTCCTGTCGCCGCCGCCGCTCCTACCGCCATGGCCAACAAGCAGATCTACTATTCCGATAAATACTGTGACGAGGAATACGAGTACCGGTAAGAGACTGCGGGAGGGCCCGCTGGAGGGATTCGGAGGAGCCGTTCCGGAGGAGGGCGGCTCGGGCAGGCGCCTCTCCCGACGCGTGCCCGCTGCCTTCAGGGAACGGGTGGAGCGGGGCCAGGGAGGGCGCAGGGCCGGCGAGCAGGGCCGTGTCGAGCCGAGCCTCTCCGTGCTGGGCTTTCGCGTGGCTTTGGGCCGGCTGTGGAATGGGGGACGGGTGACCGAATGCTGCTGTCGGCTGGCCCCGATCGCCTGGCGAGCGGCTAAGGCGAGCCCTGGCCGCAGGGCGATGGAGGGCGCGGAGCGCCGCCACCACAGGGAGGGAGTTGTGGCAGCGCCTGGGATGGGGCTGCGCCGGCCTCTACTGACGGGGCTGCTGCTGGAGTTGTAACTCTTTTAGGCTTACTTTAAAGCGGTGTTACAAACATTTTAGAAGTCCAAAGTCCTTATTTTTTCAAGCAGCAGATACGGCAGCCGCTTGCCAGGAACGCATACTTATATAAATGCAGCGTGACTGGAGCGTGAAGAAGAATTAATCTCCTCTAGAATGCAGTTTGGCTTCCAATATGTAATTGCATTACGGATGTAATGTTTAATAGGCATAAGTGATTTTAAACTCGACTGTGAGACAGATTTCATAATCAGATTCGTGGTAACAGTCATATACCCTAGGCTTTTTTATAGAGAAAGTAATTATTCATTACTTGCTTGCTGTCTTTTGCTGCAGAGCTGTTCAAGTTTTCTAGTGTTGTGTGTTTAATAATTGAATCTGTACAGACACGTGATGTTGCCACGAGAACTTTCAAAACAAGTGCCAAAAACTCATCTGATGTCTGAAGAAGAGTGGAGACGTCTTGGTGTTCAGCAGAGTCTTGGCTGGGTTCACTACATGATCCATGAGCCTGGTAAGCACATCTGAAAGAATTAGGTGGAAAAAAAAGGTATCTAAAACACTAACAGCCTGGTGCTTAGCTGGAGTGTGTAATGCATAACTCGTTCTGCTGTGGAATCCAGCTGGAATTAAATACCAAGTGTTTAGACTCCTGCTTATTTTCTTCCTATTTTATCCCTTTGTCAACAAAGGCAACATAACCTTAATGCTCATGTAGGTAAGATCCTGTGTTAGTGCTCTGAAAAATCTACAGTACAGTTTGAACTCTAGCTATAGAGCCTACTTAAAAATCAGTATTTTATTTAATGGAGTGTGAAGCCCCAGAGTCTACGAATGAGGATGTACTGTGAGAAGAGCCTTTTTAGGTAACTTACCATTGACAAGCCTGACTAAAAAGTAACAGGTGATACGTGAACTGCAGCAGCAATTGGAGCTCCAAGTTTCTGAAGAATCAGGTGAAGAAATTAGTGTAACCTTCCAGTGTTTCCCTTACCTTTGATACTTTAGACTTTTCTGGAGGTGTTTAGGTATAAGTCAGATCAATAATAATGTAAGCTGACTGTATTAACTAAAGTGGATTTTTTTGATGCTTGACATGATGTACCTGACAGACAGTTTACCTAGTTTGCTAGTCTAAGTTTTCAGTAAGAGTTCATCACATAGCCTAATGTTAAGAGACAGTTGGTACTAACCAAAACTACTGTTTTTTCCAGTACTTCCTTCCTGTAAGTATCTTAAGTTTATGACACAGCTACCATTTGGTATAAAACTAAAAAACACCTGTTTGACTGTTACATGGTTACTGCAAAGTTGGTCTGTTAATGTTACACGTGGAGCCATATTCGGACTTCTTGATCTGCTTATCTGATAGCAAGCTTCAACTACTCTTCCAGACTTCTGAAATTAAAGAGCCATATTCGGACTTCTTGATCTGCTTATCTGATAGCATTCAATTTTCTTTCCGCAGAGCCGCATATTCTGCTCTTCAGGAGACGTCTTCAAAAGGCGGAGCAGAAATAAGTCATCGCCTCTTCAATCTTCTGGAACTATGTATATGAGTGTATATATGTTGGCAGTATTCAGTGAATACTTTAAAGTTAACAAAACATACATCCAAACCTGTGCATGAGCTGTATTATTCACAGCAACAAAGCTCAGTCAAGTGAAATTTCAAGTAGGCTGCTATAATGTTAAAAGAGCGGATGGCTTTATGTTTACTGTCAATGTAAGTGCCTCTCTGAATTAAATTGCATTTATGTTTGTGTTGCACATTCTGGTTAGATGATCTCGTTATCTGTGTTCAGTGACTTTTGCACTCATCTTTTCTGCTGTATCCTAGTATATTCAAATCTATTAGTTGTTCTGTTTAGGAGGAAGTAGGCTTAAGAAATAAACTGCTTGTTGTGTTCTATAAAGCCTCAGTGCCTGGAGTTCTAATTTACTGTCAAAACAAGTATTTGTTGTCTAACATTTTATGAGTACCTACTCATACCTACAGTACCTACTGTTTTCATACTGGAAAACAGTAACTTGGTGATCCTATCCCTGATTACTTGGTATAAACTGTGTTGTGTACTTCTTAATATAGCATAGAGATGTCTTTATGCTTGTTCGGTTAACTCTGCTAGTACCAGTTAACTTTCTGTCACAAGCTTTTACTCTGCAAGTTATAGCCTGCACTTCCTGTCTTGCTTTGGAATTGTCACTGTGAAGTCTTGGGACCCTGTACTAGCAGCCGTACGCTCAGATTTATTTTCTTTTTAAAAAGAGGTACTTCAGTATATTGTGTTTTCAGTAACTCTCAGTACCAGGGGTTCATTTCCAACATGAGTTAGCATTACAGCTGTGTAGGATTTGGAAGGCCAGCGACAGCAGGATCCATCTGCATGTGACTTAAGCCATGCATGTGCTGGCATGTGCTGTCCCTGTGTCATGTGTGTGCTTGTTGTGGAGACAGGGGTAAGTAACATGAAAAGTCTGGTGAGGAAAAGGACCCTTGTAGGCCTTCCTCTAAAAGCTGCCTGAGCTGTCTGTCTTAGTGGTGGTCTGAACTAGGCCGGGTCACACTTTCACTAAGAATCCCGCTGAGCTCCGCCTAAGCCGTGCTCTTCCTCGGCCTGGTGTCTTTGGAGGGTCCAGGGTGCGTGCCTGCCCACACTCCCTGCCCTCCATCCCTGTGGCACAGGATCCCGCACTCCCTGC